GATTAATGGGAATATGTTAATATCTTTTCCTACTAGGAACTCCATTAATAAAATTTTTATCGTTGAGATTTATACTTATTATTTCTATAAATATCAGATTTGCTCATATTTTAATTTTTTTTTAGATTTCTAATGATTAATGGGAATATGTTGATCTCTTTTCCTACTAGGAACTCCATTAATAAAATTTTTATTGTAGAGATTTATACTTATTATTCCTATAAATATCAGATTTACTCATATTTTAATTTTTTTTTAGATTTCTAATGATTAATGGGAATATGTTAATCTCTTTTCTTACTAGGAACTCCATTAATAAAATTTTTATCGTTGAGATAAATACTTATTATTCCTATAAATATCAGATTTACTCATATTTAATTTTTTTTTAGATTTCTAATGATTAATGGGAATATGTTAATCTCTTTTCCTACTAGGAACTCCATTAAAAAAAATTTTATCATAGGGATTTATACTTGTTATCCCTATAAATATGAGATTTATTTTGTTAGAGGTTTCTAGTTACTTATCTTACTAGGAAATCTATTTATCATACGTATTCTGATTACAAATATTGTTAAAAGGCTCGATTTGAGTCAAGTTTTTAAAAACGGCTAACTCAAATTTTCGCTAGCAAAATATTGATTAAGCCTCGAGATTTAGCTAATAGATGTCAAACCTTTATGCTACCTCTGAGCAAGGTCTGCTGGCTTGCCTAATATTTTTTCGGATAAAATATTGAGTTAGCCATTTTTAAAAATCGGCTCAAATCGAGCCGTTTAACAACATTACTTATAAATAATATGATATAATGAATAAGCATGCATGTTGTAAGAATAATGAAATATAAGGCTAACAATTTTATTATTACTTTTGCAATTATATCAATAGTATATATAAATATTATTATTGTGATTGATAAATATAAAATAATGATTGCAATTGTATAATAATGCTATATAAAATAATGATTGCAATTGTATAATAATGCTATATAAAATAATGATTGCAATTTATATATCAATAGTATATAAATTTATATTTATTGAGACTATATATTGATGAAGGTATATAAAATAAAGATTGCAATTTGCATATCAATTATAAAATTATATTTATTAAGACTGTATATTGATGGTGGTGTATAAAAATTTGTATATATTGCAATTGAATATTAATTGTATATAAAATGATGATTCTTCTTCTCCGTTTTATGGCGATTTCCAGGTTTACCCGGGTAGGCCAGTTTTCCCTCTGATTTTTCTTTTCCATTTTTGACGGTCCTGAGCATCAATACTTGTAAGATTCAAGCTTCTCATATCCGCCGCTATCACATTTGTCCACGTCATCTTGGGTCTTCCTCTAGGTCTTGATCCTCCTACTTCCATCATTGTGCATCTCTTTACCCAGTCATCTCTTGTCATACGTTCCACATGCCCAAACCATCTTAGTCTATTTCGTCGCATTACCATACCAATCATTTCTATACCTAATCTTGCTCGCAATTCCTTGCTAGTTTTTCTCTCTCTCAGAGATACCCCACACATCCATCTAACCATCCTCATCTCTGTTCTTTCTAATTTGGCTTCGTGAATTGCTTTCATTGCCCATGTTTCACCGCCATAAACTAAACAACTCCTCACGCAGCTTACGTAAACTTTCCCCTTTAACTTCAGAGAAACTTTTTTATTTGTAAGAATAGATGACATCTCTCTGAACTTCTTCCAAGCTTGTCTGATCCTTGCAACAACAGCAAAATCTACACCACCATCTGCGTTTAGCATATCACCTAAATAACAAAACTTATCCACTTTTTCTAGGGTTAACCCATTGCCAATATCCAGACCACCATTTTTTAGGTTATCATTATTATGTATCCCTTTCATGCATGTTTTACAAATAAAGGTCATTCTTTCTAACATCAAACTGCCTTTTTTCCCACTACATCTTTTATGTACCCATTTCTGGCATCTGGTGCATTGGATAGAATTTCTAGCAACTCCTTTCCCACATACACCACAAGGCCACTTACCTGATTCTTCTATCTTTAGATTTTCCCCACCAATCATCACCTTTGTTTTTGATGCATTCATTTTCAGGCCCTTTGCTTCCATAGTCATCTTCCATTTACTAACTTTATCCCTCAATTCTCCCTCACTGTTTGCCATTAATACAAGGTCATCTGCATATAATATCTCCCAGGGAAGTCCTTCACGCATTTCTCTAGCCACCACATCCATTACTAAGATAAATAATAATGGACTCAGCACGGATCCTTGATGAAGTCCTACCTTCACCTCAAAGCTGTCACTATCACCATGATCCGTCCGTACTGCTGTTTGTGCTCCAACATACATTGCCATCACTGCGGTAACTAACCATTCCTCCACACCGGATTTTCTCAAGGCCCATCTTGTAATCTCACGCGGCACCCTATCAAATGCTTTCTCCAAATCAACAAACGCATAATAGAATTTCTTTTCCTTCGCAAGATACTTCTCCTGAATTTGTCTCACCACAAAAATTGCATCTGTCGTGCCTTTTCCCGATGTAAAACCAAACTGCATTTCATCAATTTTGATTTGTTCCCTTATCCGCTTTTCTAACACTCTCTCAAATACTTTCATTGCATGTTCCAAGAGTTTAATAGCTCTGTAAGACCCACAATCTAAAGGATCACCTTTCCCCTTGTATACTGGGATAATTATACTTCTTCGCCAGTCCTCGGGAATAGTACCTTCTGTGACAATCTGATTTGCTAAATTCATTAACCATTCAATCCCTAAATCATCAGAACCTTTAAACATCTCTGATACCACCATCGTTAAACCCGATGCCTTCCCTTTCTTCATCATTTTCACTGCTCTCCTTATCTCGTCCTTGCCAAATTTACACCCTGGACCTTCTACCTTTGCACAACTAATATTATTATTCCATTCATTTTCTTCATTCAAAAGTCCTTTCATGTAAATCTTCCAGGTGTTCTTAATACCACTACTATCAATCGTCATTTTTCCTTCCATATTTTTCAAACACTTTACACCTATCACATCTTGCCTCTTTTTTGACATCTGTTTTGCCATTCTAACCATATTTCCAATTCCATCAGCGCATTTCATTTCTTTAGCAAACTCGTGTCTTTTTTCTTCTTGAGCCTTCGCTATTAATTTCTTAGCATTTCTTTTAGCCATCTTGTAAATATCATTATCACTATTTTCTTTGCTATTATACCATACTTTGAAACACCTCCGTTTCTCATCCACGGCTTTCGCTACCTCTGGGCTCCACTACCAAGTCTCCTTATGTCTAGGCGGCCCTTTTGTCCATCCACATACCTCCTCAGTTGTCATTACCCAAGCTTTCTTCATGGCTTCCCACTTGTCATTCACCCCAGATGCTTGTGCCACCTCCGCCGCCCTAATCGCCAATGCCATATTGAATTGACGTCTAGCATTCTCCTTCAATTTCCAAACCTTCAGCCTTGGGACAAACTTTCTTTTAGTGACCCTGGCACCCTTAAGAGTGAGATCTCCTACAACTAGTCGATGCTGATTTGTACATTCCTCTCCCGGTATCACTTTCACATTTTTTATTATACATCGATCACATCTCCTTAATAACAAGTAATCCACAACACTTTTGGTACTACTCGACTTATAAGTCACCAGCTTCTCTGATTCTTTCTTAAACATTGTATTACAAACAATCATATCCATAGCATCACTAAATTCTAAAATCCTCTCTCCTTCCAAATTTCTCATGCCGTAACTGAACCCTCCATGTACTCCTTCATAACCCTCACTACTCGCTCCCACATGTCCATTCAGATCGCCAGCCAGGATAATCCCCTCTTCATTTGCCAGTCTCGATGTCACCCCCAATAGACTGTCCCAAAATACATCTTTCTCTTCTTTACTTCTTCCAAACTGAGGAACATATGCCGAGATCATATTATATAGCTTTCTACCAATAATCATCTTGATAACCATTATCTGGTTGTCTAGCCTTCTCACTTCGACTACTTTGTCTACCAATTTCTCCGCAACCAATACCCCAACTCCAGCCTTACCATCATTACCTCCTTGCCAAAAGAATTTATACTTTTCGCTAGTCTTGCCAATCATTCTGGTCCCATTTCCTTTCCATCTAGTCTCCTGTATGCAGCACACATCTATATGTCTTCTGTGCAATACATCGACGACTTCTCCCGCTCTTCCCGTCATACTCCCAACATTCCATGTCGCGACCCTAACTCGATCACCCGTAAACTGGTTTCTCCACTTTTTATTAGGTCGATATAAAATGATGATTACAATTTGTATATCAATAGGTGGTATATAAAATAATGATTGCAATTTGTATTTCAATAGTAATATATAAAATTAGGGTAATTACTTTTTGCATATCAATATTAAATAAAATGGTGTAAATTTGGCATAAAAAGCATTAAAAAATGAAAATTTTGACAGCATGATCATAATATTGATAAAGAGTGATGTGAATTTTTAGGTAAAAACCTAATAATTAATATAATAGTTTTCTCTATTTTGAGAATATAAATAATTATTAGAAAATAGATTTTTATTAAATTTAGATTTTATAAATTTATATTGGGCATTTTGCTTTAAAAAAAAAAAATTAATTGTTCCTGAATGGATTATAAATGATGCTAAGATTAAAATTTCCAGGTTAACAAGATAGCATATTTTAAATTTTCTTTGGTTGGTTGGAGTTCCTGAATGGATTATATCAAGTAATGCTAAGATTAAAATTTCCAGGTTAACAAGATAGCATATTTATATACTTTGGTTGGTTGGAGTTTCTGAATGGTTTATATTAAGTGATGCTAAGATTAAAATTTCCAGGTTAACAAGATAGCATATTTTAAATTTACCTTGATTAGTTGGAGTTTCTGAATGGATTATATCAAGTGATGCTAAGATTAAAATTTCCAGGTTAACAAGATAGCATATTTTAAATTTACCTTGATTAGTTGAAGTTCCTGAATGGATTATATCAATTGATGCTAAGAAGAAAATTTCCAGGTTAACAAGATAGCATATTAGCAATATATTCTAAGAAGAAAATTTCCAGGTTAACAAGATAGCATATTAGCAATATATTCTAAGAAGAAAATTTCCAGGTTAACAAGATAGCATAATAGTAATATATTCTATAATTTACCTGGGTTGGTTATGGTCTCAAATGATGCTGGAGAAAATATTTTAGATAAACTTTCTAAGCAGGCAAGAGCTATAATATGATTATTTTATATAAGATTAATAAAAAATATACCAGTGCATTGTTTGGATACATGAAAGATATTGTTTTTAAATATCCCTTTACCCGCACATGATGGCTTGGTGCATTTGTAATACATAGTATATAACTATCATATTTTCTAAAACGTGAAGGTATCATAAGGTAATATTTATATATAAAGTATATATTGATCAATCAGCTTGTTAAATTGGCATACAAATTTTAAGCTTAAGCAAAATTTAGCAAAAAGTCACGCGACATAACATCATTACACAAAAAAAAAGTATATCATGCGGCACGATACGCACTTTGTAAATGTAAATTATATCCCAACACAAATATTTCAACCTCAATGTCCAGCAGTTCAAACTTAAAAAAGCATTTCAAGGTAAAAAGATGAATTTTACTTTAATAATAGAATAATATTCTTGCATAATATTTTGAAAAGCTTAATCATGGAATTAAAATATAAGTAGGGCTGTGCCGATACTAAATATCAGATCGAATCGGCTCCGTATTTAGTGTTTTCCAAAAATATCGAATCGGACCCATACTTGTAAAAATCCGATCCGGTGTAACGTGATATTTTAACTTAAAATTAAATTAACTCCCTTTAGTAATACTGACATTTATGATTGACGTTTAAATTTAGTAATACTGACATGTAATGTTAAAATTTTCTATTATTTAGTAATACTGACATGTAATGTTAAAAGTTTCTATTATTTAGTAATACTGACATTAATGACTGACATGTAATGTTAAAATATTTCTATTATTTAGTAATACTGTCATTAATGACTGACATGTAATGTTAAAAAGTTTCTATTATTTAGTAAAACTGACATTAATAACTGACATGTAATGTTAAAAAGTTTCTATTATTTAATAATACTGACATTTATGACTGACGTGCAATGTTAAAAGTTTATATATTGCAATATTAACACTTATGACTGACAGGTAATGCTTAAAGTTTATATGTTTAGCATATTGACGCTTATGAGTGATAAATAATTAAAATTTTCTAATATTGTAATTTATGAGATAGATAATATTTTAATTTCTGATATTTAGTTATATTAATATCTAAGTTTTATTCTATACCTTTTTAATTTTTTATACCTATAAATAATTTAACGTCGAAAACGTCATAGCTTAATTTTAAAATAGTTTGATCAAAATCTATATACACATGGTAGGTTAAATTTATTCATATTTAAACCTAAATTAAATAACATTCATCAAATAATTCAATATCGTACTTTTTATAAATATATCTATTAATAAAAAATATAAAAAGCTATATAATATAAATTAGCAATTCAGGCGCGTACGCAAGAATTTGGTCTGGGGGGGGGGGGGGTAATAAAATTTTTAAGAAATATTATTGTTTTTTAAAAATATCAAGCATAAATATATTAGGCTAATAACTATTTCTAATACACAATTTTAAATTTATGTGAATTATAAAAAAATTATATGTAAAGAATCACTTAAATGACCCAAAATAAAAATTTGAATTTTTTGAGCCTTTACACAAAAAGTTTCTTAGGAATAATTGCATTTTATATGTTATATATTTACAATGTAAAATCCAATCTTCGTTGTGATTGAGCTAATTTTTCATTTATCTCATCCTTGCTTGTCGTCAAATGCCTATGAATATTCAAAAGATCCAAACCTTTCAATCTACATTCAGATGTTGTACTTCTTGGTATGTTTTTCAGAAACCTGCAGGCCCGGCCCCTGGGCTGGACAGTATTTTAATTTTTTAAAATATACCCGAGCCGAGCCTGAAATATTTTTAAAAAAACACCCAAGCCGGGCCTGAAAATTTTATTTTAAAAAAAGCCGGGCCGGGCCTGAAAATTTTTAAAAAAAAGCCCAGTCGGGCCTGAAAATTTTTTAAGAAAAACTCAGGCCGGGCTGTAAAAAATCTTTAAAAAAAATCCGGGCCGTGCCCTGCAAATGGTACTTCTGCAGGCCTCTGTTATTCTTCTTAAAAAAGAGAATGTTCTCTCATTAGTTTACTAATGGAAAGAGTTTATAAACCCTTTTAATACATTGGGAATTTAATCTAAAATAGGTTTGAAATAATGCAGAGCATCCATAGCATTTTTTGGGACTATATCAACCATTGTTAATCTTATAAACATAATTATTCAGCTAGTAAGGCATCATAAGATACTTTAACATCTTCATAATAAAAATCTAACAAATATTTTTTTTCTATCACCATCTGAAAAAGATTGGGAAAGCTTTTGTGGAAGTAATATTTGCAGATGTAAGTGCTGCATGATGAATTAAAAATTCATTTATTTGGGTTATAAATGTATCTGTATTTAAGATATACTCTTCTACTTATCCTATATTAATGTTTTAACGATGAGCTTTCCTTGCTACAAGTCGAGGGAGACAAATATTAAACACGTATAGCTCTGCTTTTGACTCAACAATAAAATATGAAATTCTTCATCAACATTAGCCCTAATTTCCTTGAGTTCTGATCTCTCCCTATTCTCATCTTCTTAACCAAGTCAATGTCATGTTTTTGAAAAGTAATACTTAAAATAGTTGTATAATTAAATAATACATTCTAATGAGAAATAAAATTTGGAATAAGCATTGAATCCAATAATTATCTTGCTTCTGAGGAAATATTTCTTTCAGGCCATTGTGATATTTCAGTAATAGCAAATAATTGGCTCTTCTAACTCCTTAAAAGCTGTTACTGCTTGATGGCAGAGACTCTATCTCGTCGGACAAGGTTGCAATTTCTTTCTCCCTGTTGGACAAGAAGTTTCAGAAATAATTATTATTTGACTAGAAATTTGAAAATGGTAGATAAATATTACGCCACTAAAAATTTGAAAATAATAAGTAAATATTAGCCGGAAAATTTGAAATCGAAATTAATTGATAAAATAACTTAGTAGATAAATGTGATAATAAACGAATAAATATTAACAAATATAAATTAATAAAAACAATAATATTTTTGAAAAATATATCCGGCATCTGCATTTTTTGGTTTGGGGTGGGGGATCGCCAATGTAGCAATTGAATAGGACTTAACTCATCAAGAAGATGGCTAACTATTGTTTTTTTTTATAAAAATAACTATTATTAAAAAATATAAAATGCAATAAATATATTGTATAAATTCGCGATTGAAGAACATTTAAGAAAAAGATAAAGTATTGAAAAAATATATAAAATGCAATAAATATAATTTAAATTTGCAATTGAATAGAATTCAACTTATAAAAAGGATGTCAAACTATTGTACTTTTTATAAAAATATAGAGTACAATAACATTTAACAAAAAGATGCTTACCGATTATCATCTTTCAACTAAATTGCAATAAATATATTGGAATAAAAATATTAGAATAGATAATCACATTGATATAATTTTAACAAAATGATTTTTATTTACATTGCATAAATAAATATTTTAATATTATTAAAAAATTTCATGGGCGAATAATAAGCCCACTTATATTGGGTATAGATTAATATATTTGTCTGCAACAATGTGGCCATAGATAATATTTTTACCTCTGTTGCCCAACACCGTTTCCCATAACATTTCTGTTAACTAGGTATTCCTCTACAGGATATCCTATAAATTTTCCCATAACATTTCTGTTAACTAGGTATCCCTCTACAGGATATCCTTTAAATTTTCCCATTTCCAATTTGAAATCTTCGCTCCTCACAAAAATAGCGCATTCCTCCCTCAGGTAATTATAATTTTCCTGGCTATTTGATATCTCTTGACTTATACACCTATAAACATGGTAAATAATTAAATATTATATAAAGATACTAACTTAAAAAAACAGTTCCCATCACCCACAATATGATCGGTTGTAAAAATCTCTTTTAATATACCACATTTTATCTTGGGATAACGTCCAATTACTTTGAAATTGAACCGTTTAGAGTGGTATACCTTCCAGTTCCTTGTTGTGGGCAGAAAAAGTTCACCAATTTTCTTTGGTATTATTGCATCCACAATAATTTCGTCATTTAAATTTGATAATTAAATAATAACATATTTTTAAAAAATATTACTACCCTGATCTTGTACACCTATATATCCTTCCTCTCTCACTATACTTTTAAAAGCTATTATTGGATCTTCACTAAATGTATCTGTATCCAAAAAAATATATTAAATAATTTTATATATTATACCTTTTCTCTTGACACGGTTTATTTTAGTATCCTCCTTTCTAATTTCCAACCCTAGAATTTTAGATTTATCAAAAATAAAATTTTTACAATTTTTAAAAAAGAAAACTTTCTCCTGAAACTTTTATTCCATAGGACATTTCTTCAAATAGTGTTCTTCTAATGGAAATATAATTATTAAAAATATATTTTCCTTTTTTACAAATGCATTTGTTTACCCTTCTCCTTCTCCAACTATAGTTTTAAGAAGCCTACAAACTTAATTATTTGTTCAATATTATTTTATGAATTATCTGATTATATTACCTTGATCTTGAACACCCTCTATAGTTTCACAATGTGCAATTTTTTTGACTGTATCTTTACCATTAAAAAAAGTTATATTCATATATTTAAAAAATAATACCTTTGTTCCCCTCTATATAGTGCTTTAAATTACTTATATTAGCCTTAATATGTAAAAATTTTCCTGTTGAAGAGGATAATTCTACATTGCCTAAATATGTATAAATATTTTGTTAAAAAATAATAAATTTACTATTAACTATTGTATAAGGACCTACCCAAGGCTGCAACATTTTCCCTCCTTTCCTGTCAGCCCGACGATTATTCCACACAAGCACCTTATCATTTATGTGATAAAGTGCATTCTTAGCAGCATTACGAGTTTTATAATCTCGTTGCTGCTTAATCTGAGCCTTTTTAATATTTTTCACTGCAGTCTTGAATATGCCTTTCATATTGTCTGCCCTTCTTTGGAAATTGCAGTCATAGTCTGTATCAGAAAGATCATCAAGATCTGTTTCTGGTTCTCTATCATTCTTAAATAATATAAATAAATATTTATTATGTATGATAATTTTATACAAAGAATGATATATATATATATCATACCTCACAGGGCAGTAAAGCTTTCCTGCCATACATCATCTCATATGGCTTAAATTTTGAGGATTCCTACCTTGATGTATTGTAGGCAAATACAATACCAGGGAGAAGTCCAGGCCAATCTTTTCAAAAGTAAATATTGAATTTATCAGTAATATTCATAAAAATTTAGA